AATATCAAAACTATTAAAAGAAATTGAGTGATGGAAGGAGGAGGAGGAGGAGAAGGAGGAGGAAGAAGAAGAAGAAGAAGAAAAAAAAGAAGAAGAAGAAGGAAAGAGAATTTGTACAATATCAAAAGTATTAAAAGAAATTGAGAGATGGAAGAAGAAGAAGAAGAAGAAGAAGAAGACGATGAAGAAGAAGACGATGAAGAAGAAGAAGAAGACGAAGAAGAAGAAGACGATGATGAAGAAGAAGACGAAGAAGAAAAAGACGACGACGACGACGAAGAAGAAGAAGAAACAACAACAACAACAACATCAACAAAAACAAGAAAGAAAGAAAAATCTGTACACTATCAAAAGTATTAAAATAAATTAAAAGAGAAGAGAAGAAGAAGAAGAAGAAGAAGAAGAAGAAGAAGAAGGACAAGAAGGAGAAAGGAACAAGAGGGAACGAATGAGCAATAGAGTAATACACAGAAAGCAAAGAAGAAAAAATGAAGAGAACGAAGGAGTAAAAAGAAGTAGGAGACGGTGGAAGATGAAGGAACAAAGCATAAAAGAATGAGTTAGAAGACGCATAAAGAAAAATGAATAGGAGGTTTAAGAAGAAGAAGAAGAAGAAGATGAAGAAGAAGGAGAAGAAGACGAAGAAGCAGAAGAAGAAGACGAAGAAGAAGAAGACGAAGCAGAAGACGAAGAAGAAGAAGAAGACGAAGAAGCAGAAGACGAAGAAGAAAAAGAAGAAGAAGAAGAAGACGAAGAAGCAGAAGACGAAGAAGCAGACGAAGAAGAAGAAGTCGAAGCAGAAGACGAAGAAGAAGAAGAAGAAGACAAAGCAGAAGACGAAGAAGCAGAAGAAGACGAAGAAGAAGACGAAGAAGCAGAAGAAGAAAAAGAAGACGAAGAAGCAGAAGACGAAAAAGAAGAAGAAGACGAAGAAGCAGAAGACGAAGAAGAAGAAGTCGAAGCAGAAGACGAAGAAGAAGAAGAAGCAGAAGACGAAGAAGACGAAGACGAAGAAGAAGAAGACAAAGCAGAAGACGAAGAAGCAGAAGAAGAAAAAGAAGAAGAAGACGAAGAAGCAGAAGAAGAAAAAGAAGACGAAGAAGCAGAAGACGAAGAAGAAGAAGAAGACGAAGAAGCAGAAGACGAAGAAGAAGAGGTCGAAGCAGAAGACGAAGAAGAAGAAGAAGCAGAAGACGAAGAAGACGAAGAAGAAGACGAAGAAGAAGAAGAAGACAAAGCAGAAGACGAAGAAGCAGAAGAAGAAGACGAAGAAGAAGACGAAGAAGCAGAAGAAGAAAAAGAAGACGAAGAAGCAGAAGACGAAGAAGAAGAAGAAGACGAAGAAGCAGAAGACGAAGAAGAAGACGAAGAAGCAGAAGACGAAGAAGAAGAGGTCGAAGCAGAAGACGAAGAAGAAGAAGCAGAAGACGAAGAAGACGAAGAAGAAGACGAAGAAGAAGAAGAAGAAGAAGCAGAAGAAGAAGAAGAAGAAGAAGCAATACAACCAAAAAGAGAAGATCATAAGGAACGCTTAAAAGAAAATGAGAAAGAATAAGAATATAAAGAAATATGAATGAAAAGGAAAAGAGAAAAGAAAGAAGAAAAAGAAGACGAAAAGCAAGAATACAAAAAACAACACAAAAGACAAAGAATAAAAATATAAAGACAATGTAGAAGAATAAAATGAAAAATAAAACAAAAAACGAAAAGTGTATAAAAATTATAAAAATGATGAATGAAATATTTAGGAAGATGAAGAAATTCAAAGAAAAAGAAAACGGGAATAGAACAAATATTAGATAAAATGAAGAAAAATGGGAAAAGGAATATTTAATAAGGAAAGAAATCGATGAAAGATGACGCAAAAGCAAGAAGAGAAGAAAATTAGTCAATATGAATAAAATACGATAAACGAGGCAACAAATAGAAAATAGAAAAATAAGTGTTTGAATAAAAAGAAGCAGATGAGAAAAAGAGATTTAATAAAGAAGAGGGAGAGGAAAAAACTATGAGTAGAAAAGCAGACGACAAAGAAAAGAAATACGTCACATGTATGGAAGAAGAAACTGGCTAAAATAAGGACCCAATAAAAGCCTTGAAGAAGAAGAAGAACCAAATAAAAAGCTTTAAGAAGAAGAAAAAGCGTAATGAAGCAAAATAAATGAGATCTTACTCCGAAAGATAATGAGGAAAGACGGTCTAGAGAATTTAGTATTCATATGTCATATTGAAGGGTAAAGACGGGCAAAAGAAAAGAAAAAAAGAAATGAAATTGAAAAAAAAGACGACAATGTATAAAATGATTAACAAAAGATAAAAGGAATAGAAAAGAAGCAATTAAAGGAATAAGGAAAAAGAAAAAATGAAGGAAGAAAAAGAAGGGAAATGAGATGGAATATAAAAAAAGATGATGAAGAAAATTTAAAAAATGGCTAAGAAAAAGTAACAGCAGATGAAGAATTTTTTTTTAAAAAAAAGGAAATGAAAGAAGAACGGAGAAACAAAGGAAAGAAAACCAAGAAAAATAAATGAATGAGAAAAAGAAGTTAAAAAAGAAAGAATGTATTCAAGAAAAGAAGAAAGTAAGGAAAAAAGAAAAGAAATAAAAAAAAATGAAGGTAAATGAAACTCTTGACATGAAATGTTCTGCCGAACGAACTGTAAAAATAAAAAAAAAATAAAATAAACAGAACAAAAGAGAAAAATTTTAAATTAAAATTAAAATAAAAAAATGGACAGCCAATTCAAATCAGAAACAAACAGACAATTGAATGGCGGGAAGGGCTGAATATCAATTTGCATATTCCGTTATGACAGTTTAAGAAAAGAGAAAAATGAATAACCGATGAACGAATAAGAGAATACGAAGTAGGGCAGCCATTATTTTCAAAGAGAAAGAACAAAGTTAAACAAATACGTCATGGCTATTAAAAATAAAAAAAATAAAAAAAACACCCAGTCATCCGTGAAAATATGGCGACTGCGGTTGGCAAAATGGTAAAATTCTTTTATTGGAAATTTTTCCCCTGTCATTTATTATCATCGATATCTTTTTGTCTTTCTTTTATTTTCATTTTTAACGATTAAACGAGACTGGGAGTTTGAAAGTGGAAGTGAAAGTGAAAGTGAATTATTTCCTTTTAATCGGTTCAGGATTTGTCGGCATATTTAAATTTAAATTTAAAAAAAAAAAAAAAAGAAGAAGATGCATTTAAATAAAAGTCTGCTAAAATCACTTAATCATTAGTCAAAATATGGCATTTCCCATTGTTAGAAAAAAAAAAAAAAAACGACGCCCTCTAGCGACGACGTTGTTCGAAATGCTGACCAAATTCTCGGAACGTGAGTATTAAAATGAAGTACGGATTTGCATAAAAGTGAAAGTGTATATAAACATAGGTAAATATTTGAATTGATGCGTGATTATATGCACTTTTTTTGTGAATCTCCACATAGTAATTATACTGCGTAGTTTACACAATTTCACTAAGTTAGTTCTTTGCATATGCTAGACAATTTTTCCAGCCAAGTCCTCGACAAAATCCAGGGACGAATATGCAATGTGATAAGTCCTTATCTGGCATCTAGTCTACAGCCGCTTTCTCACAGACGTGCCGTGGCCTCCCTCTGTCTTTTATACAAGTATTTGCACTGCAACTGTTCCGAAGAGCTACTTTCGCTGCTTCCGAGACCGCATGAATTTAAGAAAGCTACCAATCTGGCATCTCGATCCCACCTTTTCACTGTCAAAACGGCTAAATATAACCTTCTCTTCTACTCCAACAGCTTCTTCTCCCGCACTTCCCGTCTGTGGAACTCCCTTCCAAGATCACTATAATCTTCAAATATTCAAGTGTGATGTCAATCGACATCTGACACTCCGAGTTTGTTCCCTGTCCTTCGCTGTATCCTTTCCTCAAACACGCTTCTTCACCCTTTTTTCAATCCTCTGTAACCCCTTCCGTGCTAGTGGCACTCCCGCCTTGCTTGGAGTGAATTGCTTTCAAAACAACAAAAAAAAGTATCTATCTTACGTATCTTATATCAATTCCTCCTTCCTTGGAATACTGCAACCATATCTGGTTTGGTGCTCCTGCTATATACCTAGAGATTCTTGATAAAATCCAGTCTGCAATATTAATGGTCCTGATCTGGCATCTTCAGCCACAATGCACCGTCGTGACGTAGCTTCCCTGCTCCATTTCTATAAATACTTACATGATAATTGTTTTGCCGAACTTTCTTCTTGGGGCCAGATTTTAGAATTGTTGTTTTAACCCCCCACCACAGACAATGAATTGTAAATATTGGGAGTAGTTAGTATTTTCATAAGAGACAATGAGGTATTATGGTGATTGTAATAAGAAAGGTACATACGAATGTGTTATTTTGGTTTAAGGAATATTGTTCGTACGACTGGGTCAGTGTTTGCGGCTAGCTAAGTTATAGTTAAGGCAGAAGAAGACCGTCCTTTCCTCAACCCCCTTTTCGGCCATGTGCCACATTTCTGTATTAAACAGAATAGAAATCACTTTCTTCTATGGTAACTAGGTTTCATGAATTAGTTCAGTATTAGATTGGCGGCAATGTCTCATGATTTTACAGTGGAAAAGGGCTAGATGTAACCGTAAGTTCTATTCTAGCTGTTTCTTCTCTCGCACTTCCCGTTGTGGAAATCTCTTCCGGTTTCTTGATTTCCAGTCAAATTTGATTTAAAATAATTTTAAAATACGTCAGATGTATGGAAGAAGAAACAGGAAAAAATAAAAACCAAATAAAAGCCGCGGAGAAAAAGAACCAAATAAAAAACTTTAAGAACATGAAAAACCGTAATGAAGCAAAATAAGTGAGATGGTGTTACTGTGAAAGATAATGAGGAAAGACGGTGTAGAGCATTTAGTATTCACATGTCATATTGAAGGGTAAAGACGGGCAAAAGAAAAGAAAAAAAAGAAGAAATGAAATCGAAAAAATGATGACAAAGAAAAAATATAAAAAGATTAACAAAAGATAAAAGGAATCGAAAAGAAGCAATTGAAGGAATAAAGAAAAAGAAAAAAAGAAGGAAGAAAAAGAAGGGGAATGAGATGGAATATATAAAAAAAGAAGATGAAGAAGAAAATTTTTAAAAATGGCTAAGCAAAGGTAACAGCAGATGAAGAAAAATTTTAAAAAAAAGGAAATGAAAGAAGAACGGAGAAACAAGGGGAAAGAAAACCAAGAAAAATAAATGAATGAGAAAAAGAAGTTAAAAAAGAAAGAATATATTCAGAAAAGAAGAAAGTAAGGAAAAAAGAAAAGAATTTAAAAAAAATGAAGGTAAATGACACTCTTGACATGAAATTTTCTGCCGAACGAACTGTAAAAATAAAAAAAAATAAAATAAACAGAACAAAAGAGAAAAATGCAATGTCAACCGTTATCTATTGTATTTTTAATTCTTAGTCTTTTAATGTTCTCTGAGCTTAACTGTTCTGTTGTCTCATATTCTCTAACACTCAGTAAACGCTAGCGTCTTAGTGACTCTATTGCCTTGCTTAGGGTGCATCTTTAGTAAGGTAATATTTCAGACTATTACAATTTTTTTCATGACTTCTTTTTCTTTTATGCGAATAAGTAGACGATCATTGCTCTCCACGACTTCCTCTCATCCTTCTCTTTGTTCTGCCAGCCAAAGCTATAAAACTTGTATCACTAATGCTGGGCGTGATGAAAATCTGATACAATCACGGAAGACGCACTATTTTTCAAGGCGAAACAAATTTCATCATACACCCCGAAAATAGCTTTGCACACCACTGCAAATGACCTAATCTGAGGAAAAAATACAAATTGATATGCGCGGATGATTACACCCTGTCACTCTAAAACTGACCGTATGCTGAAAGAAAAGGAACTAAAGCGTTTGTTTCAATTAACTTGCACAAGGATGTAATTTAAGAAAATGTGTTCTGATATTATTTCCATGTTGCCATCGTCTCTCAAACAGCATCGTTTCAGAATTGGTGTTCTTTGAAGATGATAGCAACTGTGTTCAGGTAAGTAGCAAGCTTAAGGAGAATTACAATTAGGATGTCGTTCCACGCTCCTCGACTTACCTGTAATTACACTGTTACACCTCGTATATTTATATAATAATAATAATAGCTGGCCACTCATATTCGAGGATACCCGAATAGCCAATCCCTATTACAGACACTCGCTCCGGCATATTTGTGTGCATTCAACACCCAGAGAGCCAACTACGCTTAGCAGACCATATTTACAGTTTCTAGGAGAAAGCGTGTTATCTAGCATGATCAACAATTTGAACAACGTCAGTACACTCAAACCCTCAGTCACGATGACTTGAGACAGCTATCGACAGCCCCCAAGTGATCCTTCTACCCAATTTCACTAACAACCCTCGGTATCGTCTCCAGGCATTTTCCAAACGATCGTGCCCCCTCTCCAGTCTCCTTCCTGACAAATAGACCATGGTAAGATTCGAACACGTGTCTCATAGTCAGAATAACTTTAATATAATATATTATAATTATATATATCTATTTATATAAAAGTCAAAATTCCAACACAAGAAGAACTTCTATTGTGAGCTATCACCCCACCACCAATGATTGAGGCATGAGAATTAAAAAAAAACCTCGAAAACTCGAACAAAAATTTTCGTTTGAATTTCTCGGAAAGTACGACAGATACCCGAAGACGTTCTGTGATTTTTTTCTTTTACAATGATGTTCGCTCTGTACAAGGCCCGAGGTCCACTTTTTTTTTAATTTGGGTATGACGATAAACTACATCCGGCATGAAGCACTCTGATTGGGATATTGAAGCTTCTGAGGAGCATGGAAACACCTTTTAATTGTTTGTTTCCAGATCCACCCTGACCCGAGGTGGTAACGTTTGTTTGGGTCCCAACTATGGGCAAATAGTGAAGCCCCTAAACAAAAACAAAACATTATGAAAATATAAAAATGCATGTGTATAGTGAAAATATCCACAATACATTTTTATCGTAAAAATACCAGCAATGCATTTTTATATTAAAAAAATATCAACAATACCTATTTATAGTAAAATTGCCAACCACACATTTGATCTGTAATTGGAGTCATAAAGCTGTGATCAAAATACTTTGATTTCGGCATTAAATAACCCATAGAGGTTGATATGCCATTAAACAAAATCAATCAGCCAACTAACAAAGGGAGTCTCATACACACGCGAAAAACACATGTACACATAGAAGAAAATCACACACACACACACACACGCATACTTGACAATCTCAGTATCATATATATATATATATATATATATATATATATATATATGTATATTGTTCGATAAGATAATGTGAACATATACACATACACACGAACACAGATACACACACGAACACAGATACACACACGAACACAGATACACACACGAACTCACACACATATTACACACACACATATTACACACACACACACACACACACACACACACACACACACACACACACACGTATACAAAGAACGAAGAAATCCGCCCAACCGCGAACCAACGACATTGCTGCGTGGAAGGAAAAAAGCCATAGAAGAAATTGTTTTGTTTGGGTAAACAAAAATGTTGATAGAAAAGCGTTGTTCGAATGATGAATGCAAAGAGGTTAAATATTTAAATTTCTCTTAACCCTGCCCGCCTTTACACTCACCCAATCTCCCGCCATTTTCCTTTTTTGGCGGGAAACGGGGGTAAAATATGATGTTCAGGCTTCCTCAGTGTTTATTTAAGCTTTTTTGTAACTTGATGATTTATCAGAAATGGCTGCAGGTTGCAGGAAAAATAAACAGATAATGAAATATTGAGGAAAAGAAAGAAAGAAAGTAATAAAGAAAGAAAGAAAGAAAGAAAGAAAGAATAGAAATAAAGTGAAAAGAGACGCAATAAAAAAAAATAAGAAAGAAAGAACGAATGAAAGAAAGAAAGAATGAAAGAAAGTGAAAGGAGACGCAATAAAAAATAAGAAAGAAAGAAAGAAAGAAAGAAAGAAAGAAAGAAAGAAAGAAGGAAAAAGAAAAGGTGAAAATAATGAGAAAGAATGTTGCAGATCATAAACATCAAAGAAACCAAGAAGACGGAAAAAAACGAAAGAAAGAAAGAAAGAAAAAAGAAAGAAAGGGTGCAATAATGAGAAAGAAATTGTTCTAGATCATAAAGATCAAAGAAAGAAAGAAAGAACGAACGAATGGGTGAAAATCATGAGAAAGATAAAAAGAAACTTGCAGCTTATAAAATCAATGAAAGAAAGAAAGAAAGTAAGTAAGAAAAAAAGGAAGAAAGAAAGAAAGGTGTGCAATATTAGAGGAAAAACAAAATCAAAAAGGACGATTCTGGAAGTGATAAAGACAAAGAAAGAAAGTAACAAAAGGTTGGAAATTATGAGAAATTTTACAGGTTATAAAGATTGAACGAAAATGAAATATTCTCAGCCATTATTCATTTTTGACAAGTATTTCTTTCATCTTAATTTCAGTTAATTCTTATTACATTAGTTGGATTATTAGTAATATTATCTTCAATTGTATTATTATTATTAAAATAAAAACATATCTTTCGTTCTTTACTCAAATTCGATTTTATTAAAAGCTACAAATGTGTCAGATAATTTTGCGCATCCTGTGCATAATACTACAGGTACTATCGATACATATTTAATTATTTTAATTTCAGGACAAGATCAGTGTGGTCATGTTAATGACATTCAAACAATGAATGCATATTGATGTGGACCCAAAGTTGGGACCACGGAAGGAAAACACGGAACACGGACTAGAGGTAAGAAAGATATATTAAACAAAAAGGTTACAAAGACAGTGTAAGTGTAAGCGAAGCTTACTATGTGCTAGTGTCCAATATTGGTAGTCGTACGCGGCTGATACTACGGTATTAGAATACTCTCTCTCTCTCTCTCTCTCTCTCTCTCTCTCTCTCTCTCTCTCTCTCTCTCTCTCTCTCTCTCTCTTTCCTCCTCTTCTCTTAGAGTATTATATCGCATACTTTATATAGTCCTGGAAGAGTCCATGTTGTAGGTATGTTACGGTCTCACAACACATACATACCCCGAATGATATCAGAAAGTGGATTACACATGTGAAAGTATGTTTTATAGATTACGTCAAAAAAAAAAAAAACCCTATGTGCTAACCGGCAGGATTCAAACTTGCGTTCACTTGGGGCAAAACCTCATTAGGTCTCACGTGCCTTAACCTCTCTATCACGGAGCCAAGCAAAGCCCGAATAGTGCTTTTGATCACAGATCTTTCACAATTCTCCTATATATATATATATATATATATATATATATATATATATATATATATATATATATGTATGTATGTATGTATGTATGTATGTATGCAAATTACATACAATAGGAATTGAGATTACTTCAAGGTAATGACCATTTCACCCACAATTTTAAAGGTAAATAAGAAAAAAATGAAATGAAACTGGCTTAAAAACTAGTTTAAAAACCAGGCAGAGACAAAAAATAAAGAAAGAGTAAAAGAAATAGATAAAAAAAATGGCAAGTGTAAGAGAAAGAGAAATGAAGGTATAAGCTTAATTTATTTGGGAAGGATATTATAATAACAAGGAAAGGCTGCTTAACTTACGCATGGAGGTTGGCAGAAGAGTCGTTAACACATATAGCAAAAATACAAAGTTTACTCAGGCGTACATAAGACAGGAAGTTGTGGAGAGCCACGGTCTCTCTCTTTCTGAAGGGACACGGTACATAAAAGAAGAAATACTATCATGGATCATTTTTATTTATCCATTTATCTGAGCGTCCACGTCGCAACAAATTGCGGTCTAATTGAAGAAAAAAACTATTACCAGCAATACGTTTTTGAAAAACAAAATATTACCAGCTACATAATTTTGAGGAAAATAATATTACCAGAACTAAATTGTTGACAATTTTACAGCAATACCGTAAGAGGAGAATTGCTCAAGCCCCACCTAACTCCAGAAGGGGAGCTACTGCCTGGTTGGCGTGGGGGGGGGGGTGCGCTCAGGCTAGACTTATTAATAATATTTCCAACCTACCCGGTAGAAGTGAAATCTTGAAGAAGGAACGTATGGATTATCTTTTATAGCGATTTACTAAGCGTAGTGTAGATGAGGCACTCGGTGAGGATCGAAGTCACTATACAGTCCTAATTGATGCTAACCATCACACCTCGTCGAAGTGAATTTTTCAGCGCGCCCATTAATGTTACATAAGGTTGAGTTTCAAAGTCGTTTTAACGACAGCCCCGTGAAAAAAAAAAATTGCACAAGCCTAATCGGTACTTCCACCACTGAGAACGCCCCATTCACAGGGTAATGACACAAGCCCTGTTCCGAAGCAGAGGTATTCACTGACTGGGGTGATGGCCTCTAAGACTTCAGCTTAATATTATTTTTAGCCAGCCGATAACGGATTTGTTGTGACACATGGCCGAAATTATAGAACACCAAGTGAAGATCGAACTCATTACTCAGTTGTAATTTTTCTAGCGAAACAAGCTTGTTAACCATTATGCCACCTCGGAGTGCTAGAGATTTACCTTAACACCCCACTGATTAGATTGTGACAAAAAGTTACTTCGGGCCGCTGGTCTAAGCTCGTCTAAGTTAGTCATCACACCACCGCTGCGTAACAAATATCACACAACAGTGAGGGGAAGGCTAGGGAGGAGAGAAGGCCTCAGGCACGCAATAGATACTACATCCGTAGGATTCATCCTGATCGGGAAAAAAACTCTTCTCCTCCTCCGCCAATCCATTCGGATGATTTGGTTGTTTAGTTGTTTTGTTTTATGGCATATCAAAACCTCAGTGGGTCATTTAATGACAAAAAATTTTGAAATAGATTCATAGCGATAGTTTGGTTTTTGTTTTACGGCATATCAACCTCCATGGGTCATTTAATGCCGACAACTTGTTTTTCCTGGTAATATTTTTGTTTTGTCAACAATTTAGTTCTGGTAATACTATTTTCCTCAAAATTATGTAGCTGGTAATATTTTGTTTTTCAAAAACGTATTGCTGGTAATAGTTTTTTTCTTCAAAAATTTATTTCTGGTAATAATCTTTTTTACAAAGTATTTCTGCTATTAAAACCTATTTTTAAACTTTCATAATTTTTTTTTACCTCAGTTTCGGGGTTAACTATTTTCCCATAGCTCAGACCCTAACAAGTGCTACCACCCTGGGTCAGGGTGGACCTGAGAACAATAGCAATTAAGAGGTGGGTTCCACGCTCTTCAAAGCCTCCTGATCAGAGGCCTTGCTGTTGGACGTAGTTTATCGCTTTACCCTGGACGCGGATGTAGTTTATCGTCATACCCAGCACGACCATTCGGATGAATCCGGAAGGAAAGCGCCATATGATTATCTAAGCGTAGCTTAGATGTGGCACAAAGCCGAAAATATGGGGTACCCAGTGAGCAACGTACTCACTATTCCGTCGCAACTGTTTTAGCGAAACAAGCTTGCTAACCATTACACCACGCCGAGGTGCCCTCTTCACGTCGAGGTGCCCCTCCGGTCAAGCAAAATTACATCAACTAATAAACTGTGGTTACAATATATGAGGTAATATAGGATTTGCCTAACATTTTGTAAAAACATATTGCAATAAATATTTGATCTGTGATTGCTATATATAAACAATGTTTTCGTTGGATATATTGTTGGGTTTTTTAAAGTTCCTCATGTTGGCATTACCTTGTTAAAACTCAGTCGTAATCTAGAAAACCTACAGTTCTCGGATTAGGCATTATCTTCTGACATTTCACAAAACTACAAATAAGTCAAACGGAGCAGAAAAAAAAAGCTACAATTTATTGAATTATCTAAATTCAAAATGATCTGTTTAATGAGACGTTCTTAAAACAGTACAAAATTATTTAAACAAGTGAACAAATAGCAATTTTACTGAAATTAATTAATTAACTATATAGTAATTGTTCTTGTCTCTCCTTTAGTTATTTAGTTTCTTAGTTCGCACGACCTTTACCCCCTGCCAATACCTCGTAAATAATAGATTGCTCAATTTTGATCGCATGGAAAGTGAGCCAAAGACACTTGGTCTCAGTGATAAATTGAAAGAAAGAAAGAAAGAAAGAAAGAAAGAAAGAAAGGAAAAGGGGTTTAAAGGGCCGCTTCAATGAAATGAAAAATTATCAATTAGAAATATTTATACGGATATTTTATTGTTGTGGAACTTATCATAATGTTATTCAGTCATTAACTTAAGAAGTATGGTTCATCAGAATATCAAAATAGGAACACTGTGACTTTTTTACAGGTCTTTCTTGTCATTATCTCTCTATATTTCTGAGAAAAGGTATTATGTACATTATTTACATTATTCGGACTATTATCCTCATCATTGTCGCCATATTTATCACAACGTTTCGGCCTTTCAGTATCTGTCTATATTTCTGAGATATGGTATT